ATTCCGATTGTAGATATGTTTCTGAATTTTCCTCGACAATTCCATAGACAGTTCTATTCAAAGAAATCATCACGTACAAAATCTTCATTAATACAATCTGTGAAGCATTGGAGAGATCGAGTTTTAGTGGCACCATAGTTGTTTTCATTTTGATACGGAGATATGCCATATGGAACTCGTTATCTGTGATAACATTCCTGATTTTCCATCTCGTCTATCATTAATCCACGAGCCATGAATAAAGTAACCTTTCATGAGTTTACTATAATTCAAGTAAATTAAGATGAAAATTGCTTGGTGTGTGTTATGAACAAAATACATGGCAGAATGTAAGTGTTTGCTACATGCTATTCCATAAACGGCATTTGATCTGCTGTCAGTTTTATTGCCGATTTCACCTAATAATTTAATATGTGTTGAGCAACAAGTAGGGTTTATTTCTACTGAAATTCTTATGTGATACATGAAAAACAATCATTCATATCACTATGGGGGTTGTGGCGATCAATAAATTTCTGACTGAGATCATGGACCGATTGATGTTAGACCACCATTGGAAACCTAGAAGCACTGGGTGGCTGTTCCGTCCTATTATGGGACTCCTCAGAAGCGCGCATCCATGATCCCGCTCACGGGATTCGAACCTGGAGCCTTCAGTTTCGCGAGCGGATGCCTAACCTACTGGACCACTGAGCCAGTCAGTCAGTCAGTAACAACGTAGAACTTTGTACATACGTGCATCAGTTCGAGTTGCCAAACCACAATAGCACAGAGATACAGTGGTCGATTCAAATCCCGTAATGGTAGAGGTAATAAGAGTATGAGCAGTAATCGGGAAAATTAGTGTTTGGAGATGTTATTTAAAGAGTATAATACAGTGAAATAAATTTGGGAAGAGAAAAAAAAAGAGACGAGGAGGAATAAGGAGATCAAAATTTGAGAGAACACAAAGAGTGTATGCACCTGCGCCATTGCAAACGATTTTGAGCCATGTCATTCAGGGTCTCTAACCATCGGTTGCATCATCTCGCGGTCCCCAACCAGGTAGTCTACACCTACCAACATGACACAGTCCACTTGTCAGTGACTTCATGGACTTGTGCCATGTTTTGGTCTGGCCGCCCCTAGCTTTCTTCCAACCTACTCCTATACCACTGAACATCGCACGTCGAGGAAGTCAGTCGTTGGGCATACGTAACACGTGTCCCAGCCATCTCAACTGATGAAGTATTACTACTTCATCAATTGATTTGCCATCCTTACCTATTACCCGTTTCCTAACAACTGCGTTACTTACTCGATGGTCCCAGGATATACGAGCAATATTTCGAAGACACCTATGATCAAATACTAGTAACCTACGAATATCCTCCTCAGGACCACTGAGCCGATATCCAATGGTGTTAATATCTAACCTCAACCAATCCGCGAAATCGTGCGACCATCTTCCATTGTACCGAGATAGATACCTGTCTCTACCCGACATGGGTTAGCTCCACTGGTCACTGTTTCTCACTAGAACTCCGAGAATTCCCTCACGAAGCTTGTCACTACTGAGCACATGACAGTTATCTGTATAGGGGTTGTGGACTGCTTAGGAGTCCCACAATAGGACGAAACGGCCGTCCAGCGCTTACAGGTTTCCAACGGTGGTTCATGATCTTAATCAAAAACAATCATTCATATTTGAAATACGCAAAAAAAGCTTAAAATACTTTTGTCGATTACAATTGACTATTCTCTGTACCGAACTTTTACATCATTCAGTAGAATTTATTGACCACTATGTTGTTCCTTCTGATAGACGTCTTCATTCAAATAATTTTAAATTTCATCGTGAAGAGGTTGGAGTCAAGTTAGTCGTCTGAAGTCCATACTTAATCTAAACTGTAATAAGATTATCAAAAATTATTTGATGTTGTGATCAGTGAGCCTGTCAATTATTCAGTGTGTTTACTCCTAATGATCCAGGACTTCTCATTGCTCCTCACGATTTCAAATCAACATGACTGTATATCTTTTATTATTGTATGACAAACAATCTAAGTGTAAAGTAACGATGATAACTAGTTACCGCTTCAATAGTTCCAAATAAATTGAGCACTGGATAGAATGTTAATAATAAATTTATTTTTATTATATCCCAATGAGTAGAAGATTGTATTTCTGACATTTCGTGACTTAGTGTAAGCCACTTCTTCAGCGAATAAGTAATCAAATCAAAATCAATCCAAGTTTAAATAGTACAACGTTACTATAGCACAGTGGTTCCGTTGTACTATTTCAAGTTTGATTAATCTTGATTTGGTTATTTATTCTCTAAAGAAGTGGCTTACATTGAGTCACAAAACGTCAGAAAATCTAATTTTCCTGCTCATTGGGATATTACAAGTATATTAATTTATTTATATCAATCTACTCAATGCTCAATATATTCGAAATTACCCAGTCAAACTATGATAATGATACCTATCAATCTATATATCTATTTTCGCTCAATATACCTAACGAATATAATGCCTAAAAGATGGTGAACATCATAGGCTTGATAATATTTTCTCATCTTTTAGCATAGTTCAGTTTCATAGTTTGTGTCATTGACTAACTTCATTTAGGTATTTAAATCAATTCGTCCCTTTAATAAATTTCGATAATGTAATAATATGGAAGAAGATTATCAGAACTATGCGATATATCGACGCAATACATTCCAAACAATTTGATCACACCTATACGTGTTAAAAAAAACATTCAGATACAAAAATAAGAGATCAAGTAGACAAATGAAAGATAAAAGGGAACAAGCTTAACAGAGAAAAATAATATGAAACAATCGGACCATTGTACTATTTAAACCTGGGTTAATTTTGATTTGGTTATTTATTCTCTGAAGAAGTGGCTTACAATGAGTCACGGAACGTCAGAAAATCTCATTTTTCTACTCATTAGGATATTAAAAATACATTACTAATTTATTGAATAATATAGTTTATCTCAGTCTACATTTTACCAAACAGTTATCTTTGCTTCCACAAGGTCTATAACATGATGACTGTTAACAGTGTAAACACAAGGATTTCACATGTTTTTTCTCACTTCTCAAAATTTATTACATCAATAGAAAAAATCACTTAAAAACATTGTTTCCAATTGTCTCCCCCATAATATTGTTGTGTTCACTTATCGTTTGACGTACATACAAATAGCTAATTAGCTACTTACAATTATAGAAACAAAAAAAATGTTTATGTCATATAAAAGATCTAGCGACAAGATAACTTGTTATAATTCTGGTTTCTTACTGTTGATGGCCCAGCTACTCCTATTGCTTAGTATTCTCGGACACCGATTCACTCGACAAGTCCCCAAATCAGAACACGGTTGAACAGGAAAAAGATTATATTCCAAATAGCAAGTCAGAAGCCAGTAGGAAGGACAATAGGGGAAAACGTCGGTATATTTATAGTTTTTACATAAGAAGAATCCAGAATATTCTCCAACTATCGACTAGCGCTGATTGGATAAGAATTAGCCAATCAGCGTGCACCAAAGCAATCATGCATTGAGCATGCTTTAGTCTAGTCTATGCCCCGCTAACACCTCCCCTCTGAGCAGATTCGTAGGATCTGGTGCTAGGGTCCAACTGCAACTGAGTGACTGGCTTGTGCTTTCGATTAGTCCATCGTCTAGGCAATGAAGAATTATCACTTTTTCCTTGCACAGAGACTGACATGTCTGTTCCCGGCGTTTTGATTTTTCTTAAAAAAAAGTATGCATAACTTTTAATTCTCCAACATTCTCCTCCTCCTCGAAATAATGTTGGGTCCTTATGGCTCCAAATTATAACTAGTAGGACTTTATTTAAACCATGTTTCTCGTATTGACTGGAGAATCCACTAAAAATGACTAGATGATGATGAACAACCTTTGATCTGAGTTCATTATTTTCAAATTCATTATGAATCTCGTTAGCTGATAACGATTCATTAAGAAAGTCAACGTCTAACAGAATTAGATTAGATTTTTGGCCATCATTCGACTCAGCTGACATATTTCCCTCATTGTTATAAGAAGGTTCATCAAAATCATATGCATTATTCTGAGAATCAATATCTGGTACACTGTCATTAGAAATGGGATAAGTTGACTCAATATAAAATTCTGTCTTCCGGTGATTTTGAGTAACATCTGGTACAATTTGGTTCATCGTGTTGCTCCAGTTATTTTCTGAATACGAGTCACCATAGCTTTCTCGACTAATAGCACGTGGACCACAATTTTGTTCGAGCTGACGTTTATTTTCGCAGCTAGACAGTACCAGTAGTGTTTCATTTGATTCTGGACTCTGGGCATCATCTACAGGATCTGGCTCCTGATCATCTGGTATTGTCACAACTTCATGTGCATTCAGCACAGTATTTTCTTGCTGTGAGCCGGAAACGTTACAAATATCACGTTCTGATTCAGGTATAAAGGGATTTGAACCCTCCACTTGATATGCTTCTGAAATGTCTGTTACTGCATCATAAACAGATTTCTTATTTTCTGGTCGAGTGAAAAGTGTGTTCAATAGTTGTTGTTGCAAGGCTAACAACTTCTGCTGGTGCTGTAATATTAACCGCAACTGTTCTAAAGAAATCGCCATTTTTCTTTAGTTTTTTTCCCGTCGCCACTGTTATAGTCGCTTTTCTTAACGGTAATGACCCGGCTACTCCTATTGCTTAGTATTCTCGGACACCGATTCACTCGACAAGTCCCCAAATCAGAACACGGTTGAACAGGAAAAAGATTATATTCCAAATAGCAAGTCAGAAGCCAGTAGGAAGCACAATAGGGGAAAACGTCGGTATATTTATAGTTTTTACATAAGAAGAATCCAGAATATTCTCCAACTATCGACTAGCGCTGATTGGATAAGAATTAGCCAATCAGCGTGCACCAAAGCAATCATGCATTGAGCATGCTTTAGTCTAGTCTATGCCCCGCTAAGATAACTCCTTGCTCATTCCTAAATAAATGATAATGTTATAGTAATTAAGTATACTTTCAACTGTCAATTTGATATTCATTTTATTTCTTTTACAAATCACTTCAAGATGTAGTAAACGTGTAATACCCCCTTTTAAAATACTTAAAACGAATCAACTTGTATACTTAATTGAAATGACAACAACAACAAAAAGTACAAAACTTATTTCATATATAAATTATAAAAAATCATTTTCATTTCGAATTCTCAACTATAGACAATGATATCATCATCATCATCATCATCGTTATCATTATCAGAATATGACTTTCTTCACTCATCAAAATGAATTATATTTGTGTATCTATAAAAAGAATTCATTTATGAATTCGATTAAATTTTCTTTATTGTATACCTTAAAAATTATATTTTACGTAAATTAATACGTCATCTATTGAATTTCACAACAACAAAAACAAAAAGAACAATCAACTCCATCATTTTTTCTTCATGTTGTAAATCATTTCTTTTATTGTAACTAATCAAATATCATTTAAGTTCTAGTTCTATACATACAACATGTGGATAAAATAATGAAATTGTAAAAAAAAAACAATATTTCATAGGTTATTTCATTTGATAATCATTTTTCATTTTGTCATTAAACTAAATATGAACCTTGAAAAATGTGCTCGAAAAATGCTCTGATTATCGATTTTATAATTTTTTTTTCTAAGTTAACCAATCAACGATTAGTTTACATTTGATTGGTTAGTATGGATAATATTGGTACCTTTTTCAATGATCCTTTCATATTTCTTATTTCTAGTTACTTACTGTTTGTATAATTTTATTGAGATTAAGTTGAACAATTTCAATTGGATTTATACTATAAATTATTAATGCAATTCATACTTCTTTCATGTTATATTACGTAATTGGATAAATTAACTATCGAGTTTCTTTTCTCTTTTAAGTAAATAAGTAAGTTTATGATTATTTGACTAGATATATTCTTACTTACTTATTAACAAGAATAATATTTCATATGTACATACAGAGTGAGACTATAATTGATGCATGACCTTTCAGCGACGTTAAAGCGACTTTGAGAGTGTCCACTTAATAACTAGAACCAAATGAAGGTTATAAACTTATGTGAGGAATTAGAATTATGATTTACAATTGATGGTTAAAGTTAGGAATTCGTTTTAGAGTTTTTAACACAAACTGACATCAGCTATAATGCCAAAACTTTATTTAGCCAAATGGATGAGTGAATTTTGCGCCAAAATCTGAGATCTGTTATCTTGTACGTGATTGGCTCAACCATAAATTATAATCTTGCCACATACCGATACATTTGCTACATTTCTACTAGGTTGAAAAAGAATTTCAATTCTTGATAAGTTCTTATTTCACTTTGTTATTAGAATTATGACTACATTTTAATCAAAATGTTTCGAAAATTTTTTGTCTTCGACAAACAAACTTATGTATTACAACAAATAATATCTGTAATTTAAATCTTCATACATAATGCCCAGTCAAATAGTTTTTAATTAAGAATACAACAAAAAGTCTCTATCTCTGTAGCATCCGCTCCCTATAAATATTCAGTATTGTTTACAATGTTATCGGACAAGTGACAAATGACATATGAGTTCTTTATCAACCTGATAGTGAAGTGACTCGTTTACATATTTTCTATGTTGAGGCTTAAATTTTACTAAATTATTATCACTACACATTTTTCATCTTATATTCCCATTAATATTGCATAATTCATAGAAAATACTAAACATGATGCGTGTGGTATGTGTTTTTTTAATGTCTTCTTTCTCAAAATGTAACCAAGATTCTCCTATTATGATAATAATAATAATAATGATTATTACTATTATTATTATAGTGGTAGGTGTTTTGTCATATGCGAAAAACATTTGTCATATTGAAAATGAACTATAGAGGAAAAAAGCGCTTCCCAATTGTTTCTCTTCTCCTGTATAAGTATATATACATACATATATTCACATATATTTACTATGGTCTGATTTACACCTATTTTGTTAATATCCAGGGATATTATTAGACTATTCTATCTGAAATTGTTTAAGATGTAGAATCAATTACTTTGAAATTTGAGAACTTAAACGACTAAGCTAAATCATTTTATCAATTCTGGAATTGATCTTAAATCAAAACCTGGTGAATATTCCCCATTTAAAACTTAATTCTAATTTTTCTAGTCATAGTGCACTGTATGATGTACTACCTGTATAACACCTTGAAAAAAAGATCAATATCAATAACAATGTAGGTGTAAAATTTGAAAAAACATGGCCTTGTAACGTGATATTATGATTTTATTGTCAATCACTTAAGTTGAAGTATATTTTGTGTGCACTACACTTGTATGTTATTATTTTGTAAAGTTTAAGCAATTGGAACCATAATTTCTAATTGAAATTAAGAACTATTACTCATCTAATTGATTAAATAATAATTTATAACTCTTAGCTTATAGTTTAGTGGATAGTATTCGACTATTAACAAGGTTGAGTTTGATGCTAAAGCTTAACAACTGATGGTTGAGTTCTTAAATTCGATTAGTAATTTAGTGATAATTCATTAGATTTCCTGATCAGGTTACTATGAGGTGAAAATATGCATCGTTTATTTTTTGTAAGGTCATCATCGCATAGATAAACAACAAAGAGAATAAAATGTTGCTAGATTTACACCACAAGTTTAAACTATTAATATTTATCATTCATTTCTATTAGCAACTGATATCAAATATTGTATCAGTGGAGTGAACTAATGACAACTTAATACTTTGTAAGCCATTCCATCCGAGTTATACAGAATAATACAATATATTTACATGGTCTTCCTTGCATTTGGATTAATAATTTGGGTTATAAGTGAGAATTTCGTGTAAACTGTTCAAATATCTGACATTGAAATATAATCAAAATTCTCTTGAACTAGAATATAGACACATTCCCATCTTAATACCGTTATATTATAGATAACCAATTTTGAGTTTTTTTATAGCACATGGATTAACCATCACTCAACTCGTTAGAAACGGGATTCATTTGAAGAAAATTATGACAAAATTAGAAAATTCGTTTCGTTTCGTTTTTTGCTCATTTTAGATATTCAGAATTGAGTTGTTTGAAAGAATTACTTCATTTGTTCTGTATTAATGAATAAAATTTGTAATCTATGTAATCAGATAGTAGATTTATTCATACAACTAATTCATGAAATTGTAATAATAATACTCTTAAACTAAATAGAATATACTTGAATTATTGATGGAATCATCATTGTCATGTGCTTCTTTTATGATGCATATAATGTAATCTACCTTTTATTTACTAGTTTCACTTACAGATTCTCAGCTGATTGGGTTGTAGCTCTATATATATATATGTATTCCAGAGTAATATATCATGAACTGTTAAGGCTGGTGTTTTATAGTTAACCAAAGCATTAAAATATAATCGTCTTATCTAACACTAATAATAATAATAATAATACGGTTAATAAAGTTATATTAAATATAGATATATCCATATATTTCACTGGTTTACTTGTTCAAACAGGTTATTGAAGTAGTAAACACTTTATAGTGTGATCTTTAAAAAATGAAGTTAATTTTAAGCTAGAAATATGTATTCAAATAAATTCTTGTGTTTAACTAAAAGAGAAGGGATAAAACCATTGGTACTTTTTGTAATTTTTCAAGGCCATTTTACTAAGAATATTCAAATTGTCCATTGTCTAATTGATTTCACTATCAAACAATATTATGTAGTACTTTTGATTGGTACATTGACAAACAAACATTGAACTATTGAACAATATCGAATTATCAGAAGAAATTCAGAAGGAAGTTGTTTGAATAATCTAGATATTTATATTGATAAAAGTGTGTAAAAAGTATATGCAATTAAATATAAAGTATGACAAATGAAGACACGAAAAATGGAGCATAATCAAAAAATAACAGTTATCATCATACCTAAAAGTCTATACGGAGAGTAAGAATTAACCAAAGAATTTTAAATCCGTCACAGATACCTGATGATCATTAAAGCAGTACAAAATAGTCGGTCGATGTGATAAAATTTTAGGGAATTCAATGACATATGAATTAAACTAATCAAATAAGCGTTTTTCTTTGACTCGAATAAGTTTACAACACCAAGGTGTAAATAGAGAAACAAGAAAAATCAACTAAACTCCCCCTCCAAAAAAATAACCTTTAATTCAAAGATTTTAGGCAAGTTGATAATTCAAATTAGTTTGTTTTGTAGTTTAATTAGATTAACTGTCTTGGCTTCACCGTATTTACCAATGACTCAAGATTTTGTCTATAAATTTTAGAGTATCATTTTTTGAAATATATATATAATGATATGTTATGACTATAAGTTGGGTCGATTCTTACCCTGTGCTAATTGTTGTGTCCTTGACTGGAAAAATTGGAGAGCAGCGTATTTATCGATCGATTCAATGACACTTAAACACGTACGGACGGCCTACAGTCTCGATTGGTCCCACTTCCCTGTCTAGCCCAGTCAGTTGAGTCCAGAACACAAGTCACAGCCTCGCAGATATGAATCATTATATTTCAAACATACTTTGTTTATATACCAATCAAGCATACCACATCGTACCATAAAATAGAAAACAACATTTTGTACAATATTCAACAAGCGAACAGATATCGACCAATAGGAAATGTCCATTTAGAGTTCAAGGACACCATTGGACTTAACATGATAATTATTGGTCTATTCCTCCGCATCCACAACATGATAATCAACACGTGTCCTAGCAACGATGGTCAGCCTAGTGGGCTGCATTTGCAAAAGATTGATCTTAGTTGATGCAACTTCGGAAACTTGAAATTACTGGACAAACTTTTCGTCCTTGTATGTGACCCGTCAGTAGTTCATATTCACGACCTCCCAGGGATTGAACTCAGGATAAGTAACCACATCATTTTCTTACTAATGATTAACTTTGAGTGGTCATTACCAGAACTCTATTGAGATATCTAAGAATGACAGAGTAAGAAAGTTGTCACCAATGCGATTGGTGAAATTTATTGAAGTTTGAATTATTCCCTAAGACATCACTTCAGTGGTTCTAACGGTTAAGCGTTCACCATCAGATCAAAAGGTTCTGAGTTCAACCCTTGGCTGAGTTGTGAGTACTCTCTGCTGAGAAGTCCAAATGAAAACATTCTGTAACTAATTCTGGATACAAAACAATTCAAGCAAACTATTCAGCCTCCATATGTCAATAAAGAGAACATTTTATTTATAAGATTCTGTTTACTGAATATCAAATTCACTTCACGTTTTTACAAAAACTCGGCCTACTTTGATTTCCATCTCAATACACCATTATTACTCGTTGAATCAACCTGTAATACTACTGAGCACTAACAAGCCCGAAACCCATTTTTCTGAGGGCTTCTTATCGGCTTTATAAACGATCAGTACTGTACAATTTTGACCCTAACATACACCAAACCCAGGACCTTTGGATGACTAAGTTCTCATCCAGTGATCTAGTACTCTTTGATCTCCCTTCTGATCTCACTGAATCATGAATCTTTAAAGTCATGATTTACTTATATCAAAATCATATTATTAGTTTAACAATTATATTCTATTTGAAAACAAAGTACTTCAATGTAGGTCATGATTGATTTTTTTTTATCAAAGAGAAGAATAACACAAAACTAATCATTATAATAAACAACCTACCATTAAACACTATGGTCAATGCGTTAAGTAAACACAGTATACTTTTCTAAAATAAAAACAACCTTAATTTTGAATAACACTAAAGCTGGTTTTATTGTTACCAGTAAAAATAACTTTTGCTTATCATTCAAAATTGCGCAAACACACCTACACATGGTATGTTTAAGAATTCTTTCAAGTTTATTGATC